ATTTAAAAATAGTTAGTTATATATCTAACTATATACTCATTTACACACGCAAAAAAAAGGATAATAGTGAACTATCCGTAAATATAACAAGTATAGTCGACTGTTTGTGAAGGAAATTAAGTATATATTTGGGTATATAGTTAACTATATAGTTAATAAAAATGAAAATTCTAAATAAGTATATTTAGATACATAGTTAACTACGTATATAAATATATAATTAGATAATTAATAGAAATAAAAAGTCTATACGTTTTTTTTGTCAACAAGTTTATACGTTTATGATGTTGGTTTTTGTTTTTTTCTAATAATGCAAAAAATAAGAATATTATTTATCTTTAATTATTTTTTAACATGAGAGAGAAGAGAATAGATATGGAATGTATTAAATGAGATAATAATGAAAATAAGATATGAAATTACTTACCATAACTACATTAAAGTTAAAACTGAAATATCAGGTAATTAAAATATTAGTTACTAAATATTATTTTATTTGATGTTAGATAATTAAATATGGAGTCAATGAGTAATATAGAGTCTAATTTCCCTTCTAATTAATATATGTGAAATTAAAAGTAATCACATCTTATTTATTATGTCATGAAATTGTTCGATAAGAATGTGTCATATATATTTGTGTCATATATTTTCAATATATAGAAAATATAAATAGATGGCCTAACAAAAATTTAATTAAAATTGTCCCTAAATCTAAGGCCCTAATCGGTGGCTTCACTAACTTGTGTTATGGGTTGGGTTTGGATGTTATTGAACAACTTTGAAACATCTTCTGCGTTTCCGAGATTGTTCACGAATATCCCACTGCGGATGAGTAAGTCAGCATCTGTAGGGGATATAATGAGGCAACTACACAATCTAGTGTAGGGAGGAAGTAATTAACTGAGCAATGACATTGTTCAAACACAATGATGTTTCCAAGTTTCTGTAGAGGGATTCCGTAAAAATGAAAACGTTGTTTTTATTTAAATTATGCATCAACCTTTAACAAAAACA